TGACGGACGTGACCAAAGAATACATCCGAATCAGTGTTAACTCTCGTGTGTTCTCTTAGTTGTTCGCTTAGTTGTTTACAAAACGGCAAGCCTCGTAACAGGTATGCGCAGTGAGCTTTGGACGCGGCTGAACAGTCCGCGTGCAACCAGGCATTGGACCAAAGAATTAAGTGACGTAAGCACATTAGAACCGAGGAGGAACGCCGCTGGTGGTACGTATTTGCGGTTTAAAACGTTACTACCATCTGGACATTAGAGGGACAGAACTGAGGCGGACAATCTAAACAGTGACTCCGGAGCTGAACATCTCCTCAAAGTCATTCGCAATCCCACTCGGAAATAATCAGACGAAATTGTGCGCACCATTCATCAATGAACACCGCGCACTGCACTGTAATACTGCGCTTTGCAATAACAAGGAAAAACTAGCAAAATATTATGCTTGACAAAATTGAGGTCCCTGGCCTTTCTCAACGGCATCTAAAGAAGTGCTCTTTAGTGCCGTATATTAGCAGATAGGAAGCTGAAAACTGTACAAATAAATGAACCAATCCTTCTGTCTGATGTACAATTGCTAGCCATCCACATCCTCAAATGTTGGGCTTTATTGAAAACAAGTTGTATATAAGAAGACTGACCAGTAAAGGCTGCCACTTCTACTTGGCTTGGCTAAATAAAGGCCTTGTAGCTTGTCGTTTGCTTATTCATGAGTGAGTGCTAACCTGCAGGTGATAGTAGCCTGATCTTGCTAAAAATGTTACAGTAAAAACAAAGGCAACGATCAAAATGCATTATCAAGCTAGTATGCGTTGATGAGTTTGGTAAGAAAACTAGCTTTTCACGCGTTCGAGCTTGCCCGGTGGTTAGGGAAGGAACTAGTAGCCACCCTTTCGCAACATACATGACTGTACAGCTCACGCTAGATCACAAGATCTGTCCTTTGTCACACTTGCAAACTATGCCACAGAATCGTGACTAACTTGACTACACAGCTCAAACTCAAGCCCTTGATCCTCTCTTTCTTCCCCTCCACGCACAAATCACGACACACAAGGGTGACTCATTTGACATCGACTGTCTACCGTCCGATGAGGTGGCAACAAGTCATGTGTTGACACCCACCCACACGCAAATGTTCCTACATATAGGACAACAGCACAGCAACACAACACAACTAAACAGAGCTACGCATGTCGCCAAACTCGGAGCAGAGCCACCCAGGACTTACGGCGTTTCACTCATGGATATTCAGGAATACGTGTGGCTGCTACAACAGCGAATACACGAAACCTGCATCCGGACTTACAACAGGATTTGTCAACTTCTACCTGCAGTGCGATAGTCCCTTGTTCGCATGTATACCCGTTGTAATAATTTGACTCAACAAGCTAATATTGTTAGTGCTCCCCGTTTTCTCGTTCATATAGCTAATTTTCGGATTCTAGTAGAGCATTAACAAACCCAGTGATCAGGAGGTTCGCTTTTCGGATCCGACATCGGCATCTTCACTTCTGTTGCATATGTTCGGGTAACCTGGTGTTATCTCGGCTCTCATGCTTTATTCAGGCGGCATGACAGTTTGGCACGAAGCAATTACTGCAGGCAAACCACCACTGGTTTATGCATGAACATTTTGATACACCTAAAGTTTCGATAACTGTTTATAGGTCTCCTATAATGATCAAAATCTGTAAACTTGGAAGCAAAGCACATTGGATTTGTGTTACAAAATGGTTTTTATTGGAATTGAATACATATTTACGTTCTAAAATAATGAAGCAAAAAGTCGGGAGTAGGCTTTTGTAGCACTGTTTTGAACACCGACAAAACTTCCTCGTTCTTATGGGTTGTTGCCTTGCTGACCACTTCGGCATAAGAACTGTAGCACTTCGTTTTTGCTGCATAAATAAAGAAGACGAATTATTGCCTGATACTGTCTACGTATCTCAAGATTTTGGTGTAAATCCGGTTTTTAAAGTTCACTAACCTGACGAGCCTTGCGCGACTCCTAGTGGCTGAAAATTCCGCAGTCATTTGTTAGAAAAATGTGTAATTGTTGGAAGTGATGTAGAATGATTAAACTCACCAGATCCCTCAGAGACGTTGCAAAAATCCTCAGTGCAACAGATTTCTTTCGAATTACGCTCCCGGCAGGTATGTTTTTCACATGTTTTTAAGTGCTGGTGTCTACCACCATAATCTACATAAATCTAGTAAAGCAAAAAACGAAATTTAGTAAGGTATAAAAACAAAATGACATCATTCAACTACGATTGCAGTTACCTTGCAATATCTGCACATAGGCGTCTGAGTATGGTTTGTTCCAGTATAGCAAGTAATATCTATTATATTATTTATAATGGCTTGTGTTAACTTACTTCTATAGGTAAAATTAAACTGCCGTTGTTTAACCCACAAACGAGTGGTAAGGTATTTCTAGACAGAAAACTTACCGTTCTTTATCTTTCTTAAATTTATCAGCTTGAAGACAAACAATTAAAGAGTTTGAGACCAGCATTTTTCCAGAGGTGTACGTAAAATCATTTTTAGCCACGGAAACATACCCATTGTTTTGTTGATGTTACAAAACTCTGTGTCGCAACATTGGTTCGGAAACTGGTCACAAGTATCATCAATGTCGCAACTATATGGCTCTTTTTCAGCATTTAAATACTAGAAAAAGAGAAGGGAAAACAGCGTTTTTAGAAAAATAGATGAATAACTATGCCCCTTATTGTAGACAGTTGAACATACAACGCAGTATTTGCAACCATCGATAAACATCGGTTTTGATCCATTGAATTCCGTGATGCATTGCATGCCTACCAAATATTGGTAAGTGGTATATAAAAGAAAGACTTGTCTTACGCTCGTCTTCAAAGCACTGGATGGTAGATACGAGAAGCAAAACGGCGACATATTTTATCATGACCGATCCAGCCTCCTTGTTAGTGAGAACGACAGCGAGCAACAATTTGACGTTACATTATATACTATCGCTAAAAATCAATGAAGGACGCTTTGACAAGGTTGCGTAATCATACAATCGTTCGTTTTTGATGACGTACAATCGAGTTGTCAAGCATGTGAGATTTAGGAAAATAACGTCCCAGAATATGGAAACACACCTAATATGCTTTTATTGCTTCGTTAAACAAAAGCGTCATGTATACTTGTTCAGGTTGCCGTACAGTCTTATTTCCACTACTTGGTCAAAAATTGAACTATTTGCTACCAAACGGTTCACAAGAGTGCTCTCAAGCTATAAGTCTGCAACAATGCAATGTTCCGTGCTCATGTAAAAAAACTGTTATTTCAGAGTTGTCCTACGAGGACTGTCATACTTACTCAACCTAACAACATTTGAACACAAGTGCCGTTGGAAACCCAAACTTGTGATCAGCAGTTCTGCTGATAATTTTTTTCTTTTTCCTTTCAGATATTAAGCCGATATTGGAGCAAAATTAATATTTTAAACTTAGTACGTAGTAGACTTATTAGATTTACGAACGAATATTAAACTCTTGCAAATATTTATATTGGATTCAGTTTAAATGTGATCAGTTTATGGGAAACGTCAAATAAAAGCATTCTAACAGCCATCTGTTCCACAATATGGTAAGTGAGGTAAATATGATTTTTGAGTCTCAAAACATCAGCCTCTTGATAAATTTCGGTGCTGTTATAAAAATAAATTGAAACAAATCGAATGCACCAATAAGCTTGGTTCTCGTCGGAAAGGGTATGATATACACCGAAGACATCCAGATTGGAACAATTTCTTAGAATGTCACGCACTCTGCTGTGTTAAGGACTGAACGTTCAAGCATTTGCCTTCGGGAACTTCCCTCAGATCATAAAAATAATCTGCCACCAGTAACTTACAGCTGGTTTAAGATATCGGTTATCGAATAACGGATGCTGATTTTTGGTAGTGTGAGGAGATTTGGGAGATTTCGTCCTGTAAGTGAAGCCAATCTATGCTGAAGAGCCGAGAAGCACTGTACAGCTGTTTCATCCTTATTGGGATTCATCAGCAGTGCGCATCTCACGAAACTCCGGACAGTCTGGAACCCGCGATCTCCCGGCTGGGCCAGGGATAAAAAAGAAATTTTATGTCACTTTTTGTATTGTGATTTTAACTTCTGAATTCCGGTGGCCCGGTATATTTTCCGTTCTCGTTTTTTGAAAACAAAACAAGAGCGTAAATCTAGGTTGCAGTACGTAAAATCTTTGCGAAATTGACTCCTAGGGGGAACTTAGGCAGAAGTGTAAATTCACAGCAAGGGAGAAAATATTTTTCACAATAATCTTGTAAATAAACTAAAGAAATTTTATTTGCACGAAAAAACCCTCCATAGATAATTTTAATTTCTAAAATGGCATTGTCAAGGCGAAGAAAATAAGTCGCGGGGATGGCAGATGATGTAAGCTGGGCGGAAATATTTTCTTGAATATCCGAACAGGCTCTTAGATTCAGAGTAATCCATTTGTTGTTTTTAAATTCATCACTCCACGATTTAACTTATTTGCGACTTCGCTGGGATCATCGACTATCTACCGAGAACTCGATGGACCCCATATGGTAGGATTGATAAGAGTTAGTTGTAAGATATTTTAATGGATAGGAAATAAGCGCCGACGTAAAAACGGAAGTGACAGTCAGCCCAGGATATTTTCAAGCGAAGCACAAATGTGTGCATTACCTGGCAAAATGACTGATTATAAATTTCGGATTAGGTAACGCAGAATATGGACGAAAACCAAAAACCGCTGGATAACCATCCCACGTTGAACTGCCAAAATACTGTCATTATAATAGTCTAACGGTGGATACCACTGGTGAGGAATGCCAGCAGTACGTGGGTTTCTCTTAACTCCGCCGCGCAATTAATAGAAAGTGAACCTGTTACGAAACCTGTGGAACTGCTTTGCGGCTTCTGCTCACAACAGTGTGATGATCAACGAATATCCACGAAAATTAAAAATAAGACGCAGGATGATATTCAGTTCTTAAAAATAAGGTGCATACAAGACGTTAACTTTCCTGACCAACAGTTTCAAAGTGATTAGTCGGTATCTGATAATAAAGGACATGACGGCTAATAGCAAACTGCATATCTGAATGCTTCCTTCTTGTAATGTGCTGTCCGTCCAGTTTGTGGTCGAGGAGTACTTCGAACTGTTCACAGGCGATGGAGATCCTTTGGGCTTTTGTGCGTGGACTGTATGCGAGATTCCTATTCCGTCAAAATCTTTCCGACATTACGGCTCCCGTCCGCTGTCGCCCCATCTACGGCAGAAAGTCCATAAACAATTTCAGGAGTTGTCAAAAATGACATTATCGAGGAAGCCAATAATGCGTTCAACTTTCCGGTTTCGCATGCGAAGAAGTCAAACGAAAAATACCGGTTTTGCGTGGATTTTCCGTGTATGACTGAACCGATCTTAAATAGGGTCGTAGCTGTTCATTAGGTTGCTTTATAGTTTTTCCTAATAAACCTAACCTGATGCACCACTCATGGCATTGAATATCACCGAAAACATTGTTTGGGATTTGGATGCTTGAATAATTCACGCCATGTATACTTGGCGATCGCAAACAGCGAACGACTTCGGCTGTCGCTAAGATTCTGCATTATTATTTTCCTCTGAACAATATTCTGGTGGTTATAATTTGCATTTTAGCGAATCCAGTGCTGATCAACTCAAGGAATTCGTCTGAGACAAGTGGAGCATTCTGGGAAAACACAGAGATACTGTCTGGCCAGTCATTTCTCTTTTGCGGGAATAACACTCCTTAGTTCACAACAGGTTGAAGTCCAAGTGACTTTGATTTTGAAGGAATGTATTCTACAGCAGCACATGATTTAGATAAGGAGTGTTCTCCGATAACGCACATTGGTTTAGAAAAATTTGTTACTGCGTGTACTAAATCCCTGTGGATTCAGAAAATGTTATCGTTCGAGCAACTTGGTCAGAGCGTGTGCCACTTGAATTTTAGCTGAGCCACTGAGTGTGGCGACGTGCTCCGGTGTCGGTGACATACTCTTCTGAACGTCATTATTGCACATAGACAGTTGCAGTCATATAATATAGTAGGAATGTCTGAAAATCACGTGCTTCATCAACGTATTTTCATAAAGATGATGCACAACAATTAAGCATGAACCAAGCAAACATTCGATCATTCAAATTTTGGTTCCATCAAGAACGGTATTCCTCATCCAGCGGCAGCCCACCTGTTTTGATTGTGAGAATATTGGTGTTGCTTCTTGGGTTCTATTGTCGACACCATATGTATGAATACTTACGATAACCAAGTCCTTATTTATTGGGATGGTCAAGCCTATTATAAACTTTTTTCGTCACTCGGCGGTCTAGGAGCAGAACATAGTCAAAATCCTGGAAATGTAAATGGAAAAACACACACCACCGTCTAAAATGTGCGCGCGTAAACCGGGTGCTAGGAACTCAGTTGATTACAAGCTGGGTCATTCAGCAATTAAGCTGCGTTTTGTCTGAAATATTGTTCGCTCGTAACTATTTGGCGATGCTACTATCCCGCACCACTACACCTGCTCGTAGCAGTTACCATGGTCTAAATGATTTGCTCATTGGTTTTCGGTATGATTAATTAATCCGATTGGAAATTTGAAAAGTAAAGTGGAGAACCATCACGCATTCCCAAGATGTTTTACGAGTTATTGAATTTACGGACGGGTGTATGCAACCATTTAATACATCTTGGTTTGCTTGATAGGGGAATGATAACAGAATGGCAGCATAATATTAGATGATATTCTAGATAAACGGAATTTCGGCAGAGGGATTCTCATGAGTGAACGGCTAAAAGTGCCAGACACTTTTCATCACAAAAGAAAATGAGCAGGCGTCAGGCTGTTGCTTTTGTTGACGCGGTACCATGTGTCCACAGTTGTGAATACTCACCTTTTCATTCATTCTAATCCTAATCAAAAGAATTGTGGATAGTATTGCCACGTACACGGGAACCAGAAAGCCAAATGTTCCAAATTTGTATGACTTCCATGTAGATTAGGAGAAGTGTTCCAGTCAGATGTAGCAGCCGAATACGTGTCAATAATTGTTGGGGTGCGGACTAAGCCGCAGGCCATCCAATAGTCCAGTGTTCGTCAAAACCGCTGTTGTGGTCTTCAGCAAGGGTGACTGATCAAAACTTGCAGCATTTAAAATCGTTTGGATTACTCACTTTCCAAGGCTGCTTGCTTAAAAGCCTCGGCGTTTTTTATACGGCCACCCATAAAATAATGTTTGCAACGACAGATACGTGGAATTTGTCGCAAATGCCTGGTTATATGAGCAACGTATAATCAAATATATCTTATCCACTTATTTGCTTCCACGTCATCCGTTCATTTCCGATCTGTTTCTATCCCTTGGTTTAAATGATGACCATATCATGACCAAGTTGAGGTCACATTTAATCCTGTTTAATTATGGCAACAATCGGCGATTCACTTGAATGTGCTGTTTTGACCAATCGTCACCGCGAATTTTTGGTAGTTAACATGACCAAACTATTCTTGGCCTTCTTTCATGAGATGGATCAAGACCATGGTGCGAACGTTTTTACTCATTTCAACAACTTCAGGTGATGCGGGAATTGGATTAACTAGTTCTGCTTGTTTGGGTGTCTGGCCCATATCGAACCACAAGACGTGCCCACTGAGAACTTTTGAAATATTAGGTACGTAGGCACAATCTGGTAACTAACCAGCTTGGTTTCACGCAAAACACTAGCAACCTGTGTGGTCCAGTGTGATGGTGCACTTCACATAATGCGTCTGGTGTCAAAGAACTTTGTCCGGGCAACGATGTGATCTCAGTTTTTATCTCAAACTGTGTAAAAAGTTTAGACATCGGATAATGCAGTGAGTTATAAAGACTGTAAAGCTAGATCTTCATTCTTGGC